AAGAACCCTTTCATGCCATTAACACTGTGTTAACAGCTACCTGTGGAAAGGAGATCAGTTGTTTCCAAAAAGAAATACAAATAGTCATTTTGCTTTCAGATTCCCCAGAATGAAAGGGCTCCGAAGGGTGGCAAAGAGGCAAATAAAATGGAGCCTCTGAGGTGAACTTATATACTTTGAGGTGAACTTATATACTTTGAGGTGACTACATGTCAGGGTGCTGCCTGAGGCAGAAGATGGGGGTTGGGTGGGGAACTGCCGCTCAGTTACCTACGGGGTTTTACAAAAAGAGAGAAGATCCAGGATTGACCTGAGGACTGAGCCAGCAAGTCCAAGGCCAGCTAGAGGCAGAGGCCAGGGCCAGCCGTAGCTGGTGAGCAACAGCCCTGCTGGCCTGGCCTGCTCCACCTGGGATTGTCTTCAGAAACGCTCAGGTGAAAGAGGAGGAAGGAGATGCAGTGAGGCCGGGAGAACAGGGCCTCTGAAAGCCGAGGAGCGGTAAGAGACCCTGTGTGTGCAAGGAAAGGCTAAATGTCAGATTCCTGAGTGAAGAGTTTGTACAATGATCCCAGGAATATACTAATGGCCTTGAGGACTTCTGGTTTGAGGGAACTGCAAATAAGAAAATGTGCCTTGGGGTCAGGTGCTCATGTAACACAATGGTTTGTATTTACACTTTTCTAGCAAATGCAAACAGTTTGATATCTTCGAATAACTTTAGAAATGAACCTGACAGGCTTTTTGAAGTTCCTGCAAGATTCCTCCCTCATTCTTTCCCATCTGATCTCCTCCTCCTCACACAAGCTGTTCTTAGAACACAGATAGGACTGTCAGCCACAGTGGAACCACATTTCAGATATCTTATGTAACATTTACTTATCTTCAGAACCTTCCACAGCTTAAATGCGTAGCTCTGACCTTTTCATCTGTTTCCCCCTTCATCTGTATTTATTTACCCTTGGCATAAACTACCACTTTTGCTCCCACCCCCTGTCCTCGTGCTGTCCCCCCCTCCCCCTTACTCCTAGGTCCTTCTCTTTTTTCTCCCATCCCTTCTCTCCTTCTTGCTTTCATGGCATTGCATGTAATTTTAGCACTCCACAGCCCATGATTCACAGCTGTGCTTCTCAGGCTAGCTCTCTTGGCCCTCATGGTGAGAAGTTGAATGTCAAGTCCAGATCCCTTAGCCTGACACACTGAAGAGTGACTGGCTTCTCCAGGCTCCCCTGTTAGCCCCCACACCCCAACAAGCAACCTCAGGAGGACTGAAAAGACAGTGGGGACTCTCAACTGGTTCCCTCCCTTTAGTCTCACTGGTTATACCCTCTGGGTCTGGGACTTGGAGGAGTCTGGAGTGATTCATCACTCAAGTCAGCCTCAGGCAGCCCTGGTCTGACTTCAGTCTGATTTAGACCCCTGGGAGTTAGTGGCCCTGGGAAGTTCAAGACTGAGGACTGCCTGAAACCTTGTGGGCTTTGTGGACATGGTCTTCACATCCTCTGCAGCCACTCACAATCCTCCTAGAGTTCCTCCTTGCCAGGTGTTCTTCCAAGGCACTGGTGGCCAATAGCGCTTACATACATGTAAGTTCCAGACCGTAATTCCAGGATTGAGCTCCATCAATGTACAAATAATTGACCAAGAAATGAATTAATGTATACTCGCACAAGAATTTTCACTCATTGCTAAAGGAGGAGAGTTTAGTTTGACCCGAGGCAAGCAGAATCTGTGTAAAATTAGGAGAGAAAGGTGTTCCCATAATTAGGTTTTTTAGAGGAAGTCCAAAAACCAACTTAGATATGGTGAGCTCATTTCGCAGAGCTGTTGTTGGACTCCATCGATACAATAGCTCAAGTCCTCACAGGAATTTACCTGCAGACAGTCTCAGAGATAGGATTCAAGAGGAAGCCTGAACTTGAATGAACAAAGCAAAGCAAAGGATTTTGAATGTTTTGCATCAGTTTTTTTTGTTTTTTTTGTGTTTTTTTTTTTGTAGGGATTTTGGCTCAAGTAAGCTGTAATGCCGTTTACCTGGTTGTGACTCGGCTCAGAGTCCATAAGCAGGTGTCCTTTCCATTTCTGTTGTGTACACTTCTTGGACAGCCTTCCAGCACGGGGGCACTGCTGCCGCTGAGTGCATGTAGGGCTGCCAAGGAACACTAGGCACAGGATCTGCTCTGCGTAGGCAACCTGAGGGTGAATGAGGGTTAATAAAATGGAGCCTCTGAGGTGAACTTATATACTTTGAGGTGAACTTAAATATTTTTTAATGTCTGTACAGAATTCTGCAACTCTATGTGTAATTCATTCCCATAACAACTATAGCAGTCATTTTATTTTTGGAGATTGGATCACCCTGACTTGTCACCACAGGAGCTACAAATGCCCAAGATAAACGAAGCAGGAGATTGTCTAGGCTGGGGGTAGAGGAAAGAGGTAGTGAGCATATGAAGATAAAGATTTTTCTTTGTTTGATTGGTAAACAATAACCTGAATGACTTCATTGCATCTGCTCTTTTTAAGCAACACTTCAGAGACCAGGGAAGCAACGCTGATCATCTCCTGTGATTTAGTAGGAGGCAGTATAATCCCCGGTTTACAAAACAAGGAACGGGTTTAACATGAGAGAAACCAACATCAAAAAGAGATTCCAAATCTGTGAAGGAACAACTAGCTCCTGGATTAAAACGTACACAAATGTGCTGGAGAGCAGAGTCTTTCATCAGGGCCTGCTTCCCAGGCAGAGGGCGGGGCCCCGCTGCAGCCATACCTTGGCACGCTCAGCTTTGACAAAGTGCACTCTCTCCTCTCACTTCCTTCTTCAGATCTACTCTTAGATTTATGACAGTATCATGAGGTGTTTACACAGCATCATGAGGTGAGAATGTTATGTGTGCACTACAATAATCCAGATGAACGCAGGGATTGGCTGCAATTTACTCTCTCACTGGATGGCTGTTCTGGATGCATTAACATTAGAAGCTATTCCTGAAGGAATGAATAACAAGGTCTCAGCTTTTGTATTATTCTTCCTCATTTTTAACTTATAGATGAAGAGAAAGCATGACCAGAAGAGTTGCCTGTGTGCATTTTCTAAAACAGCACAGTGGAAAGAAAATGCAGGCTGTCCATGTCATGCAGATTGGAAATTAGGCTGAGCTTAGTTCAAGATGCTTGCCATTGAATACTGCCTAGAACAAAGCAAGCAGCACTCATTGTGAATAGTCATCTGAGCCTGTTAGAAAGTGTCTTTCAGAGCTTGATGTGAGGTATTAGGTAAAGGTATTAAATTAATAGGAAATTCTAAAATTTGCTCTCCAACCTAAAATATTTGTTGTCCTCTTGTTTATATTGACTAGTAGGCTCTTTCTCCCTCTCTTTCTCTCTCTCTTCCTCTCTCTCTCTCTCTCTCTCTCTCTCTCTCTCTCTCTCACACACACACACACACACACACACACACACACACACACACACACGTTGCACACACATTCTCTCTCCCTGGATGCACCACCATCCTTCCCAACCCCTTTCTTGCTTCACATTCCACAGACTGGCCACATAACTAACTCATGAGCTAGAGTACTTGGGTCTAATAAACAGAAAAACAGCTGGAATTGTTCTTCTCTTCAATCTTTATTTGCTACTTTAATTCCTTTATCCCATCAATGCAAACTGTGGCGGACAGCAGGAGGTCACCCATGTGTGAAGTGGCATGAGCCAGCTGACTGAGTGATGGTAACCATGGCTCCATGTTAGCAGAGCTAACAGTGGGCATCAGTGCCTGGGCCTGGAGGGGAGGCCACCTCCCACAGGAGTTGGGCCAATGAAACATGAACAGTTGCACTCTTTGTCCTTTTTATTTCTTTAATAACAAAAAAAAAAACCCTTCTATAATTTATAAGCTATTTTTGCTATCTACATTATATAGAAAATATAGACTCTGTTTACTTTATAACACACATTTTTTCCCTTGATAAATAATTCTTTAAAATATCTAGTATACATGCCTTGACTTTTTACACATAAGTTTGGTTTTATACATATACATACATATATACTCAGCTTCTTTTAAAATCGACTTTCTAAGTCGATTCTGATTGTAGGTGATGCAGCAAACCACAGAGTTGGGGATTTTCAAAATGTCATTGGCCGATTATAGATAGCCTTGGAGTTTGCTCCTGGTGGTTGAGTATAACATAGGAAAATGTATTTTCTTAAGGAGTGGGCTTTCTAAGTTCATTTGTTTGTGACTTAAAATTTAGCAGTGCATTGCATTTTTACCTTTACACCCTCCAAACTCTCACCCCCTCTCATAGCCACAGCTGTTGAATTTGACCCGTGGTTGTAAATTCGGTTTCTGATTCCATTATCTTTATTCTGGTAATGGGGGTTGGGTGGGATTCAGCATTCTAATGACATCCGCAGTGAAAGGAAGTCCAGTTGCATCTGAAGGGACTTTATCTCCTATCCACCAGAGGTTAAATGATGGCCACACCGATTTTCAGTGGTAGACCCAGGACTAGAAGCCACATTTTCTGTCTAAGTCACATCCTGCTGCTCACAGCACCTTCATAGCTCTCAGGTGGGGAGAGGGGGACTCAGAGAGATGAAATGACTTGTCTGAGGTCTCTTGGCAACCTAGTGGAAGAGTTGCAATTAGAGCTCAGACCTGCAAATAGACTGTACTCCCTGAGTTGTTGCAGCTGAATCAATTTTCTAGAAACTTGTTTATGTCTCAAAGGTATCATAAAAACTGTTTAAGATTTCCCACTGTGACTGTAATGTGAACAGTTATCTCTGATTTGTATGGTACTTGTCAAGGATGGAGACATACATCCAGATGTGGGCCTTTGGGATTTCCTGAGGCCAGTTCTACTAACATTCCCCCCTCACCCTACCCCCACCCCTTTCCTAGATACAGATCTGGCTTAGGACTCCTGCTCCACCCACTGTCCACATTTATTGGCCATCAAAGTCCTGAAGTTTATGGAACAGAAGCCATGACATTGGGGAGCTCATGTTTAAAAAGTTATCAAAGCCCCCCATTTCAATTCCCTTTAGAGACCAGGGAGCAGGAGAACAGAAGGAAAGCTGTCTGCATCTGCTCTGTGGCTTTGTCTTTCCCAGTAGCAGGCATTCCCTCCCTAGTGGGCAAGTGTGCAGGTGGGAACACTGGGTTTCAGGAGACATCCCTGAGTCCAGCTTCTGGGACAAATGAAGCTACCCTCCCCAACCCACCCTCACCCTCCAATGCTGCTTTAAGAGATGATAGGCTCAAGTGCTCTCATTGGAGTCTGGAGGTACAGCCAGGACCATGTCTGAGTGACCATTTAGTTAACAGTGGAAAGTGGTGGCCTACCAACCTTTTCCTTCCTCACATCACTGTCCCGGTTTCTGGAGCCCTTGGGAGGACCACTGAAGTGTCTGGCTCTCAGGCTACTGAAGTGTTACACTTTTGCATCTTGACTCTTGCGCCCTTTTCTGTTTACACCAGCAGCGAGCAGAGGAATAACAAGACCGTGTCCTGCGGGTGGCCCTGTGCCTAGTGTGGCAATCACAAGCTTGCCTGGGCGGGTGGCCAGGGCCGACAATAAAACCACAGGGTCACCCTGCCTCTGCTTCATAGTTGTGTGACTCAGGCAAGTTCCTCTTCCTTTCAGAGCCTTGATTACCTCATGTAAAATGGGAGTAACAACCCCTAATGCTAAAGGGTTGTTTCTGTGGACTAAATGAGAGAATGAACTTAAAGCCCCTGCTCACAATGGATATCAAGAAATGGTGGAGCACAGGAAGTAGTCCATGGCTCTGCAGAGGAAAAAGGCTCTGGGCGAAGTTCATCATGAGCTGGAGTTGGCCAAGACTACTGCTAGGGTCCAGATACACCGACACAATGGTATTTGCTGCCAGGTTGGCTGAGGTGTTTCTGTGGATCCTCCTCTACCTCTTCTATTAGAGTCATGAAGAAGTCGACAGTGGTCATGGACTCTCTCTCCAGAGGAAAACAGAACCCAACAAGCCCAGAGCATGTCCACACTCTGTGGATGCCATGTAGGAACCCCTGGCCTACCCCCTCTCAGAATTTGGAATTTGGGACACCAGCAGAGGCAATCGGTGGCATGAGCCAAAACTTCCAGCAGCAGATCTACACAAAGATGGGACTAAATGTGATGACTCTAAAGTGGTGCCCCTATTACACTAGCTAAATGAAACACACAAAACAAGCGGGAAGAGCTGGATTATTTCGGGGATTTGTTCTGGGTCAAACTCAGCGGATAGTACCCAGACCCCTAGGGGTGCTGTTCGGTGTGGGGCTTTGTTTCAGCAAGCTCTGCTGAAAGCTTGAGATTTTAGCTTCATCGTGCAATTAAGTCTTTGCTAGTGGTAGGACAGGAGCAAAAGGAGCACTAAAGAAGCAGCTTAACCCCATTTACTACAATTTTTGAATTAAAAAAATTAACTATCTCATCCTTTCTTCCTCTCATTCCTGCATCTACCTACTACATGCATGTCAGTAGATAACATTTGACTACACTTAATAAAATATTTTCCATGCTTTTAAAAAGTATATTCTTTCTATATACCCAAGCCTCAAAGAAGACTTTTTGTTTTAGACACTGCATATTTTTTCGCAGAGCTCAGACACCTTCAGGGGAAAATAACACCCAAGTAATTTGGGAAAGTACAGAAACTTAAACCCCAGGAAAATCCCTAGATTATAAATGACTTAGAAAAATGAGGCCCATAAAGTCATCTAGTTTCCTTTTCCTTCATCCTTAATCACAGCCATTCAGGCTAGCTAGGACAACCCCCCCACCAAAAAAAAAAAAAAAATTGGGAAAAAAAAACACACACACACACAAAAAAAGTTCCATTCAGTTTCCACAAAAGCTGTCCAGAGGGCAATTTAGGAGAATCTGAACCAAAACAGCCCATGGCATGACCCTCTGCTCAAATTATTACTTGGAGACTTCCATCCTACCAAATCTCTAGTTTTGAACACGTCATCATGAAGTCTGAAAACCCATCAAGGACTAGAAGGTACCTGGAGAGTTTCAGCTGACTAACCTCACTGTTTTGTAGTCAGGCCCCCAACGTGGAGTGATGTTTCCAGGGAGGCAGTCCTCGCTCCTCTGAGCTAGAACGACCACAGTCCCCATGATGCTTGCACACCCACACCGCACCCCTGGGCAGCCGGGGCTGCACAGTAGATTGGCCCTGGGAGAAGCATGGAGGATGCAACTGATGACAGTTGTTGTTGTTGTTTTTTTTTTCTTTCTTCAGATTCTGCCTTGGCAGAGCTTGAGAGTGAACTCTTGACCCCTTAAGTTCTCTTCTAGCTGTACTGCCAGTCATATGAAAAGAAGCCCGAGCCTCAGTTGTGTGAGCTGTGAACAAGTCCTAGTTTCTACGTCCAACCTTGACAAATGTCTTGCTGGGATGAAGGACTAAGAAAAGATAAAAGGATAATTCTGTTTTCAAAATTATTTGACTTGGCCTTTCTTTCAAGACTTGTCCTGAGTTTTTAGAAGTGATTTTAGTGACATTTGGTGGCAGTGAGCATTGACAAACGCGCGCGTGTGTGTGTGTGTGTGTGTGTGTGTGTGTGTGTGTCAGGTGGTTCCCTTTGGCTGCCTGTGCTGAGCCTTCAGTTTGCCATCTCCAATAAAAGCTCTGTTAGCAGAGGGTGACAAGAGAGACAAGACACCAAGGAGTAGAAGAATTTGTTTTTCCAACATCAGCTTCTCAATCCTACATGAAGATACACCTGAGAAGCCTCTAAAACCCATTTTAGAAACATTGAAACTTAGGTTCTTTGTTGTCCTTTTGTTTACACCTATTTTTTCAGGTACCAGAATTATAAAAACGAAGCTCAAAGCTAGAGAAAAGAGCCTTTACTTCTTTTTAAGGGAAGTGGATTATATCTGAGTGGCACTGAAGACTTCCCTTTTGCATCCATCCACAGAGCTGTAAGAAACTCCTAAAAGCCCTTCCCTGGCTTGTAGGAGGCATGGGTGCTGGAAGGCAAAGCAAATCCAGGGCTGGCTCCCTTCCCTTCTGGGGGGAACTCCCACTGCAACACTGGGGCACACAGCTGCCCCACTTCTTGAGGGCAGCTCCGAACTTGAAGTCAGGCCCAAACCTCCTCCTGGCTCCTTGGCCTTAACTGGGTGAAAGGACAACCTCGCTGCTTTAGCAGGGAATCCCTCTTACACTCAACTCTCCACCAGAAGCAGAGTTACAAGGTGGCATCTTGCAGTTTTTTCAGTTCTGACAAGTTCAAAGGGATAGGCTATTCTCTGCCTTGTCTGTTTCCATGCAGGGTATGTTCTTGCTCTCATTTTGGTTTAAAGAAACCCTGTCTCTGCTAGCATTCCCGGCACTCCTTACTCCACCTCAGGCCAGGTCAGGGGCAGTGGACCAATTAGGAAGACACTCCCTCCTGCTTCCTCTGAGGAAGACCAATCAATCAGGAAAGCTGTACTCTTCGTTGCTAAGTACTTTTGCCTCCGGACACTTAAAGTGGCTTCCTGGAATTTGAACTTTCTCAGTAGCCCATTGTACCCCCACCATTTCCCAGGCCAACAGGCTAGTGTGGACATGGGAGGTTGTGCCTTCTGAGAGATTTTTTTTGTGGGGGGCAGAATAGGGAGGCCACACCAACTGAGCTTGACCTCACAGGAGCATTTGGCTTGCAAAGGAGGCCAAGGTATGGGTAATGGGTGAGGTGAAGGGGAAAGGCACCCCTCCTTGCTCCTCACAGGAAAGGGCAGCAGAGGCAGCTAAACCTCCTCCCTCTAGCGCCAATGCCCAGCAGGGATGGTCTCAGGAGAGGCAGGCCCTCTGAACACTCTCCAGCTATTTACTCAGCATCCTGACAAGTCTTGTTTGGGGCCCCTCACCTGGGCTGCAGTTCACCTTCTCAGATGCCACTTATTCCCACTGTCCCTCCACCTCCCCAATCCCACATTCCCAGAGGCTACTGTCTCCCACACCTTTCCCTCCGGGCCCCACGCAGAAGGCCCAAGTCCCCTAGGTCCCCCATCTGTGCTAACAGTACAAGGACATCCTGCTCCGGCGCATGGCCTCGCTGATCAGGTAGGCGGGGCTCAGCTCCGGCTCCTCCGTCATGATGGCAATGTTCTGCCACTCGCCCGTCTGGCTGGACCTCTTGATGGTGTCTACCACGCACAGGGCGTACAGGCAGTCGTCGAAGGTGGCGGCCATGGTGAGCGGCCGGCCGTCCCACGTGCGCCGGTCGTCCTGGTCCTGGAAGGCCTGGCGCACAGCCTGCATCATCTTGATGGTGCCTCGCAGGTAGGGCGAGGGGATGTCGCTGAAGGCCTTCTCCGGCAGCAGCGAGTTGCGGACGGGCGTGGAGTCCTGCAGCAGCAGCTCCTGCTCCGGGGCGCTGTTGCGCTGCCCGTACAGGTCCGTGCCCACCGCCAGCAGGCGCCCGGCGGAGCCCACCACCGTCACGTCCTGCTTGAACTCCCCGGGCACGTTGAAGTTCAGGGTGACGGTGCAGCACACGCCGCCCTCCAGCACCATCTGGAAGGTGCAGAAGTCATCGCTGGTGATCTGGCGGATGCCCTTGATGTGGTCGGTCTGCTTCACGAAGGTCTTGAGCAGCCCGTGGACCTTGAGGGCCTTCTGGCCGGTGAGGAAGGTGAGCAGGTCGATGATGTAGGTGCCCACCGAGTGCAGGCCGCCCCCGCCCATCAGGTCGTCGCAGCTCCAGTTGTACTTCTTGCCCAGCAGGCTGCCGCTGTGCACCTGCACCTCACACACCAACAGCTCGCCCACGTAGCCCTCCTCGATGAGCTGCTTCATGCGCACGAAGGCCGGCAGGAAGCGCAGCACGTTGCCCATGATGCTCATGAGCTTGGGGTAGTAGTGGGCGGCCGACATCATGCGGAAGGCGTCCAGCGGCGTGGCGGTGCGGTCGCAGATGACATTCTTGCCGATGCCTGCGGGCAGGAGGAAGGACAGCGGGTCAGGGCGCTGGGTGCGGAGGGAGCAGAGAACGGTAGGGGTGCTATGCCCTCAAATGTTAATTCTTACAGTGGGAACCAGACCGGATCGGATATCCTTGCTACAACTAAATATTGTATAATACCTTTTATTTATGCAAAAATAATATATTCTATATATTTCAATATTTTATAGCTATTAAACAGCTAAGTTGATTTACATAATTTTAGTATAAACCATCTGCAATGATTTAAATATTGATTTATTGAGACATTTTAAAAAATATATTTTATTGATTTTGTACAGAGAGGAAGGGAGAGAGATAGAGAGCCAGAAACATCGATAAGAGAATCATCTATCAGTTGCCTCTTGCACACCCCCTACTGGGGATATGCCCGCAACCAAGGTACATGCCCTTGACCGGAATCGAACCCAGGACCCTCCAGTCCCCAAGCTGACGCTCTATCCACTGAGCCAAACCGGTCTTGGCATAAATCTATAATGTTTTATATACAAATATGTTACTTATAAAATATATTTAAAATATTTAAATATAAAACGAGTTCTATTAAAT